TTACGTAACTGATTGTTGAGCGCCGCGTCTCTGATATATCGCCTGCAAAATCCTAACACAAAGTCATTTCACTACTTTTATACATTATCTTGAGCTTCCTATCAAATATTTCAAGACGCATTTTGTTGCGTTTCAATGACTTAATCAAATTGATTTAAAAATCGGCTAAGTACATTCATGGCAAAGGCTATGTCAGGTCTTGATTTCATGCTATACATCAATGACTAGGAACATCAACGAGCTTACTGCCTCTCTGTAGGGGATATTCAAGACCTTTGATTCGTTTTCCTCCACTGGACTAACAATTAGTGTTTTAATATGTAAATTTACTTCAATAATTAGGTATTGTATTTTATTGGTAGTTTTTATGTAGAATGATTTAGTTATAACTTATTAGAATGATTTAGTTGTACTTTATAATTTTTATATTATCATTTTTCTAGTACGCTTGATAAGGCCAGTAATTGATGGCCGAAACGTTATGAGACATATTTTGTACTTTTGTCATGGTCAGTTTAGTCGAATTAAATAAAAAGAAAATTTATTTTTATTATTTATTATTGTTTAATCATTACTGGCGACTTTAAGTATTTTAAAGTGTTAATTAAATTAACGTTTGAGAAAATTTAAAAATGATACAATAATTTAACATACATAAATTATACATACATACATTTTTTGGTTGATGCAGTAATGTTGAGGTTAATGATGAAAGTTCAAGGCTTTAAGTTGATGCTTAAAGCATATCTGAAGTTGATGCTTAAAGCATATCTGATTCAACATCTGACGAATCTGAGAATTCATAATTCTTTTCCCTTATTTTGTTCCAAAAATGTTTCTTCAGTCGTCTTCGATAATGGTTTATTATTTTGTAAAAAAATGAATTGTTATATATAGGGCATGTTCCGATATACGCTACTGGTATTAAAAATCTATATTTATATTATGTATATTCTACATTTTCCATATTAGCAGTGTATATCGGAACATACTTTTATAATATATAAACATGTAAATAATTTGTATAATACATACGGTGTAGTCTGAATGTATCATCCAAAGATTTCATTATTTCAAAAATTGATAACTCGATTTTAAATTTACTGAAGATGCACTAGATCCACTCGGCACATACTGTTTTACTTTTTTGGCCCTTATATAACAATCACGATGATATTTCCACTTTTTTGTAATTTTTTTATACTGATATTAGCTATAATTAATAAACAGTTATTTCTAAATCTTGTCACAATTTTAAATAAAATAATAATAATCTTATTAATAAGTAATTATTAATAATAAATTCTTTACACGTAAAAATTTCAATATAAATTTTTAATATATGCATACCTGAAGCGAAGTATGTCTAATTATCATTTATAACTAAGCACTTATAATAGGGTAACGTACGCTTAGGATGTGGGAATGTGATTTAGGCTCTCGTAAATAAATATGAGGAAGTAACATTTTAATAGCGCAATCCTGACGATGCTTTTTTGGATTAAAGTTCTCTTTGTACATTAGGTTATTAAACTTGTCATTATTATTATGGTAATTATTGTGTAGCTTTTTCCATTGGTATCGCTTACTTTTCCCTCCTTTTCGTTTCGTCTGTGTAGAGGCGTCGCGTTTTCTTTGAAGGAGATACCGGAGGCGATATTAACGGCGGGACTCTCCACAATACTGCGTTCAATGTAGATCTTTCCTTCAGCGGAGATCTAGGTGGACTGTAGAGAATGTCGAAGTCGATGTCGTTGTCGGGGCTGGTATTATTGGTAAACCTAGAAACAGAAGATTAGTCGTTTCCGGCAATGTTACGCCCGATGAAATGATAGATGATTTCGGCGTCGAAGCGCCAGATAGAGAAACAACGTTTGGTTTGGGCTGAGATGCCAGATAGTCTTGACTTTTTAGATGATGTTTCACTAGGAGTCTCTGGCCCTTTTAGTAGATTTTTACTTGTAGATTCCTGCCTAGTGAGGGGTCTTTAAGAGCTCCGGCAGCGTAGCGCCAGGAGTAAAGGGCCTCTCTGGCGGGCAAGCGCCAAGTGAAGGTGGCCGTTCCGGCGACGTAGCGCCAGGAGCTGGTAATTGTGCCGGTAGCGTAGCGCCAGGAATTGGTAATTTTTCCGGCGGTATAACGTCGGGGACAGCTACCTTCTCCGGCGGGCGTGCACCAGGAGTTTCGGGCTGTCTTAAGCTAAGTCTACTTTGGTCGTATCGTAGAATCGTAGCATCGTAGAATCGTTGCAATAGCTAGTCTATAAAGATCGTATCTCGTATCGTAGCATCGCAAGTGTCGTTAAGCGTCGTGCGATTTGTCGTAATTGGTCGTCACTGACTGTGTATAAGTTTAACCAAATCCAAACTTCTACGTTCTTGCGACAGACTGTGCGCTCATTGGCTGAATCCTCTTTTTATAAACTTGGGTTGACTTAACTATCTATGTACATAAAGTTTTATTTAATGACTTATCGACCAATCAGCGTTAAGAATGATGGTAGCAGTAAAAACAGTATATTTCTCTGTTTCTTTGAAAATTGAAATAATTACAGTGCGAAAATGGATGAAATCACAGTGCGAAAATATATGCTTTTAATGATGAGCATGATTATTATTTCTGTTTATTTTAAAACATCGACATCATGCGACTTGTCGGAGATGGTGGATCAGACCACTAAACAAGTGTTGTAATGTAAAGGGATTCCATTTGTCATTATTTCATGAATTAAAGACTACAGACCACGAAGAATTTTTTTCGTATACAAGGATGTTACCTCATCAATTTAATGATTTACTTAGACAAATTAAGCCATTTCTTCTTCTTGGTGGTTTGCGACATCCTTTACCTTCAGAATTGAAACTTGCATTGACTATTGGGTGATTATGCAATACATTATATATTTTAAAAAAAGATATGAATTTTTAATGATAATTGTATTTCTTTTGATAAATTTCTTTAGTGTTAAATTTTTTATGATTGCAGCTTTTTAGCACATGGTGACAGTGCACATTCTAAATATTGGGAATATAGAATTGATCGATCCATTGTGTACAAAGTTATTCGAGAAGTGTGTGAAACAATATGGAAAGCTTTTCAACCTGCAGTACTTCCACAATCAGATCGATTTATTTGGAAACAAACAGTTGAAGGTTTTTTCAATAAATGGCAGTTTCCAAATTGCATCGGTGCACTTGATGGGAAGCACATTTGCATAAAAGCACCATCAAATTCTGGATCAAAATATTGTTAAAAAAAATTCTTCAGCATTGTTCTAATGGCAATATGTGACTACAAATATCGTTTCCTTTGAGTGGATATTGGTCAATTTGGTATGTACATAAGTGATTGCAATGTGCATATATATTCTTCAAAGCTCCCCTTAGACAACAAGAAGAATTTTTAAGAATATTGATGCGCATGATTGATAGATAAGTCAGTTAATATTGTTAAACATTTTTCTGTCTTTTACAGGATCTATTAGTAATGGTGGAGTGTGGAGTGAGAGTGAGCTTGGGAGATGTATGGGACAAGGAACTTTTGATGCACCACTGCCATGTGAATTGCCTGGTACAAATATCAAAACTATGTCCTGGTTGCTGATGAAGCCTTTCCATTAAATATGAACATTTTAAAACCATATTCTAAAAAATTTCTTGCTGGTAAAAATGTTGATAATGCTCCAGTATTTAATTATCGTCTGTCAAGAGCACGAAGGATCATTGAAAATACATTTGGTATATTGGCAGCTAGATGGCAAATTCTTCAGAAAGACTGTAATTCATCCTGAAAATGTGGATCACATAATTAATGCTTTAGTTTGCTTACATAATTTTATTATGAATGACGAAGAACAGAGACCTGATGCTACAAAATGGTATTGTCCCTCTAACTTTGTAGATAAAGATAATGAAAACCATGAAATTATGGAAGGCGCCTGGCGAGAGCTGATTGACAACTTAGCACTATATGAAGATCTTGTTAATATGAAAGGAAACAGTGGCACAAATGCTGCAAAAGCTTAGAGAAATGTATTTCGCGAATATTTAGTATCAAAAGTTGGATGCAACCAAACTTCATGGCAATTTTAATTGGCATTAAGAGAATGTTATATTAATGAATAAATAATATGTAATATTATTAAATAAATTTTTTCTTCATTTTAATTTATTATTTTTTTAATATAAACTGTACAATGCATGTATATATACTTGTTTAATAGAAAAGAAAATAAATTTGTATATTGATATATGTATTTATTGATATATAAATAAAATTATTCTCCATTGATATATAAATTTTACTATTTTCTCTTAAATAGTGTGTATTTGTCTAGTTCCATTAGTTCATATCAACTATACATATATTTAGTATACTAGGTCGAAGGCACTAAGAGTTTCATATCACAAATCAACTTCATATCACAAAAAAACGCATTATTTTTACCTTAAATATATATATATATAATAATAAATATGATATTTTTAAATCGGCCAATAGAGCTTAAGCGCGAAAAATTAATTCTTCGGAATTGTATCTCTTGGTTTGAAATTACTAAGTTCCATATATAAATTAATCTCGAACTTACATATGGAGAAATAGGCGAGAAAAATATAAGTCCGAAAAGTCGCTGAAGCGGGAATCAAACCCGCATCTTTCACTTTCCGGGCGACTGCTCTTACCAACTAACAATAAGCTATTCAGATCCTTTCGATCCTATATTTTTCATTTGCCTTTTAGTAGATGTTAGTAAATAACGCCGTCATAAGGCCCAGGCGTGAATAAAATCAGAAAAGAGGCAAATGAAAAATATAGGATCGAAAGGGTCTGTGTAGCTTAGTTGGTAAGAGCAGTCGCCCGGAAAGTGAAAAACGCGGGTTCGATTTCCCCTTCAGCGGCTTTTCGGACCTATATTTTTCTTGCCTATTTCTCCATATGTAAGTTCGAGATTAATTTATATGTGGAACTTAGTAATCTCAAACCTAAGTTCCATAATCTCAAACCAAGAGATACAGTTCCGAAGAATTAATTTTTCGCGCTTGGGCACTATTGGCCGATTTAAAAATATCATATTTATTAATATTAAGAGCCCATAAAAATATTTCTTTTCTGATAATATATAATATATTAGACTTTTTTTGGTATTCTTATATATCTTATATATATTAAAGCTCTTTTTATAAAAATATAAATTTTTTAACATTATAAATATTCTAGTTTTGAGACTTTTGCGGCCATTGGAATCATCAATGCAAAAGATTTCCGTATGGATGCCGCGTGGTTTAACAGCGTAATGTCGACGTTTTGCAAACGTTGCAGTTTGCATCTTCAGGGCTGACAGCTCCGATATTGAGCTTTCTTGGGTTGTGATCCTTATATGTATTATAGGAGGTTTTTCATCTACGGAAAAGTATTCCGTCATGACGCCGCTTAGTGGTGTGAGTGTATATTAAGGACAGTGTGTCAAATAGGGTTTGTTTCATAACCTTTGTCGCGGTTGAGGTTGTCGGGATGTTTCAGAATTTCTAGGGCTTTACGATATTTCCTGGCGAAATAGCTTTGCGAGGAGGCTAGTCTGGTTGCTTTGTCGTATTGTACCGAGTGTCCCGTCTCCATCCAATGTTCTGCCAAGGCTGATTGACTAAAATGGCAGTACCTGGTACTCTGTTGTTCCTTAATTTGTGTACTGATCTTTCTCTCAGGTTCTCTTATTGTACACTTTTCCGCAGGAGCAAGAAATCTTGTATACACCTGGTGTTTCTAAGTGTGGTCTCCGATCCTTGGGATTAGGAAGTAGTTGCGCAATCTTATTTTGAGGTTTGAAAATTACTTTGATATTATGTTTACCCAGGATCCTGCTAATGCGTTCTGTTGTACCTTGAAGATACGGAAGGGTCGTCCATTTTTTATCTTCTTTTTCTTCTTCTTTTTCACTTGATGTACTCATATTTGTAGAACTGGAGATTTTATTTTTCAGTCTTTCAGTTGTTCGATGGATGTCTTTGGTGTTGTACCCATTCTTGGTCAAGACTTGGTTGAGATGTTCTAATTCTTCATTCAGGGAAGTTGGTTTAAAAATTGTTAAGGCTCTGTATATTAATGAACTGATGATAGAATTCTTCTGAGCCGGGTGATGATGAGAGGTAACGATCCGTATGTGTTGGTTTTCGATAAACCCCATGGCCTAAGGTGCCGTCTTTGTTCTTTTTAACTAACACGTCTAGAAAAAGGAGCTGATTATTCTGTTTTATTTCCATTGTGAACTGAATACTGTAGTGCTGGCAATTTAGAAAGTCGAAAAATTGAGGGAGTGTTTCTCTGCCATGACTCCAGATGACAAAGGTGTCATCAACCTATCGAAACCATGTAGAGGGTTTAAGAGATGCATTTTTCAGGATTTTATTTTTAAAATGTTCCATGAAAATGTTTGCAATGATAGGTAAAATGGGGGATCCCATTGCTGCTCCAGAGGTTTGTTCATAGAACTCTTTGAAATTGGAAATAGGTTAAGGTTAGGCAATGTTCTATTAATGGGAAAAAATTTAAGTCAATATTTTCAGATTTTTTAATAATATCTAAAGTGTCTTGTACAAAAAGAAAGCTCAATATCGGAGCTCTCAACCTTGAAGATGCAAACTGCAACATTTGCGAAACGTCGGCATTACGCTGTTAAACCACGCGGCATCCATCCGGAAATCTTTTGCATTGATGATTATAAATATTATATATAATATTTCTCATTTGATTTTATTCACGCTCGGGCCTAATCATGGCGTTATTTACTAACATCTATTAAAAAGGCAAATGAAAAATATAGGATCAAAAGGGTTTGAATAGCTTAGTTGGTAAGAGCAGTCGCCCGGAAAGTGAAAGACGCGGGTTCGATTCCCACTTCATCGACTTTTCGAACCTATATTTTTCTCGCCTACTTTTCTCCATATATAAGTTCGAGATTAATTTATATATGGAACTTAGTAATCTCAAACCAAGAGATACAGTTCCGAAGAATTAATTTTTCGCGCTTGGCTCCATTGGCCGATTTAAAATATCATATATTATTGTTAATTTTAATGTTCAATATTTTAGTTAAATATATTTAAATAAAGATGTGAAATTTAATGTATTCACTTTTAGTTCAAATGATGTTAACTTTTAATATTTATTAGTTGTATTTTACTTTTAAGACATTATATATATATACTTCTGATATATTCTGTATATACACATTTTGTTACTGATCATTATTTTTATGGACGTTTCGTAGTCAAAGGGCTACAATACAAAAACAGCGCTAAGTATTTTTTGTACATCACATTTTTATTACTTTTATTTTTTAATTTAAATTTAAAATTTTTATTTAACTTTAAATTTTTTAATTTTCTAAATTTAATTTTTTGTGCCTTATATTACCTTTTTTGAATATACGTTTAAATATATTTGAATTAAATAATTATTTATAGATAAATAATTTATTTTATTATATATATTATTTATTTAAATATTTTATAAAAATATATAATAGTTTTACAATGTGTTGTGTGCCTCGGGTGAGACACAAGGGGTCGCGCCAAATTAGGATGAAGATCTGGGGCGTCAGGACTTATTTCGGGTTAATGAAATAAATGCACTTCACTTTTATTATTAAAACTTTTATTCAAGTAAACCGCTTGATTTTTATTTATTTTACCACTGTTACACTTGTGAGTATATCGGTTTAACGACACTGTTTAACTATAACTTCGCGTATCGTGCGCGACTGCGAAGGGATGTTATATATCGCACGCGGCTAGTGAGGTCGTTTAACTAACGACGCGAGAGCGTCTTAAGAGCGACTTGAGAGCGACTTGAGAGTGACTTTTCGACTGAGCGGCGCGTCTCCTGCTCCGTTTTTATAGTATCACTTTTGGGATTTCCTTGATCGGAAGGAGTGCCTGGCCCCCTCGGTCAAGGACCTAAGTGCAAGCGAAGCAGATTCAAAGTCCTTCTGCTTTGCTTGCGCGTTGAGCAATTTCGGTTCCGCGTATATCTCGCATCGTATGCGTTTTACGCGGTCAGTGTCCGTCGTCAAACGGATGTAATACGAGTAATTATTTTTTAATAGTTATATCTCTTAGGGATATAACAAATGTATATACATTCCAGTTTTAATTAATTACATAATTATTCATGTTATTTAAATTTAAAGATAAATAAATATATATATATATTTTACTGAATTTATTTTGTTATTATATATATTATAAACGTTTTAAAATAAAGCAATAATTATACATTTGTATCATTATAGGAAATTTATCTAAATATTATATGTTATGTTGTTACTTACTTAGTGCAACTTTTTGATTTCACTACTTTTTGATGCTAATATTTTAACCTTTTTTCTCGTATTATTAATATAATTATTTAGCGCAATTTTTTGATTTTACTACTTTTTGATGCTAATATTTTAATTTTTTTCTAGTATTATTAACAAAAAAAAATATAATTTATAAATATTTATAATTTTTGAGAAAATATTTTGATGGTAATTAGTTTTTGCAAAGAATTATTTTCCTATAAACATAATTTTTGAGAAGATTGTAACGAAGCACCTTTCCCGACGCCACGGATCGGCTCGTCGGTGCCAGGATTCGGGAAGAGGGGAGACTCAGATTTACAATGACACACGGTTGCTCTGGTAAAAGTAGAGTTTATTCGGGGCCACCTTCCTGTGGTTCTCCCGTGATTCAAACCATTATACACAGCACAGTATAATCGGACGAAACGCGACCAGATGATACAGACGCGTACACGACTTATTGCTAGGATTGACAGATAGAAATATTACGGACGAGACGCGACCAGATTATACGGACGCGGACACGACTTATTGCTAGGATTGACGGATAGAAATATTACGGACGAGACGCGACCAGATTATACGGACGCGGACACGACTTATTGCTAGAGTTTCCAACGCGGACACGCGTACGGGCGCCCTGAGAAGGGCGAGCTCCGTCGGGCGCCGGTGACTTTCAGGTAGGACCCGGTGACCGAGGACGCTCGGCCTGCACGACGAGAACGCTCGTCGGCCGGGGTGATTTACGGACAGGACCCGGTGACCGAGGACGCTCGGCCTGCACGACGAGAACGCTCGTCGGCCGGGGTGATTTACGGACAGGACCCGGTGACCGAGGACGCTCGGCCTGCACGACGAGAACGCTCGTCGGCCGGGGTGATTTACGGACAGGACCCGGTGACCGAGAACGCTCGGCCTGCACGACGAGAACGCTCGTCGGCCGGGGTGATTTACGGACAGGACCCGGTGACCGAGGACGCTCGGCCTGCACGACGAGAACGCTCGTCGGCCGGGGTGAGTTACGGACAGGACCCGGTGACCGAGAACGCTCGGCCTGCACGACGAGAACGCTCGTCGGCCGGGGTGAGTTACGGACAGGACCCGGTGACCGAGAACGCTCGGCCTGCACGACGAGAACGCTCGTCGGCCGGGGTGATTTACGGACAGGACCCGGTGACCGAGGACGCTCGGCCTGCACGACGAGAACGCTCGTCGGCCGGGGTGAGTTACGGACAGGACCCGGTGACCGAGAACGCTCGGCCTGCACGACGAGAACGCTCGTCGGCCGGGGTGAGTTACGGACAGGACCCGGTGACCGAGAACGCTCGGCCTGCACAACGAGAACGCTCGTCGGCCGGGGTGATTTACGGACAGGACCCGGTGACCGAGGACGCTCGGCCTGCACGACGAGAACGCTCGTCGGCCGGGGTGAGTTACGGACAGGACCCGGTGACCGAGAACGCTCGGCCTGCACGACGAGAACGCTCGTCGGCCGGGGTGATTTGGAGTGTGGGAGTTGAGGAGTGATCCCTGAGTACGCTCGAGGGACCAGGACGGGACTGGTGTCGAAGTCTCGGCTGCGCCGCTCTTTATACCCGTCGGCCACCCCACTCTAAGACTAGCTTGGAGGGGGTCGAGTGACGGGTGGGGGCGAAAAGGCGGATTCCCAACGTATTCGTGTGGTGGCCCCGAAAGGGGCCGTTTACACGAGCGCGGGCGACTAGTGACGGCTAATCGGGTCGTCACATCACCCTCCTTTTCTAGGGGGGGGTGGCTATTCGACGGATCGTTCGCGGTCTTCCTCGTCGGTCGAATCTGATGATCCACCGGCCCGTCGGGGTGCGTACCTTATACCGCCGTGAGATGGTGGCGGCGTGGTACGGTATGTCGACGGTTTGGCCATCCCCCAGAGTGACCTGGATGTGGCGGTCGTGGCGGTGGCCGGGCGGCGTGGTGCCGGTTGGGGTGGCTCCCTGGCTGGTGGCGCGACAAGGGATCGCACCTGTTGGCCTGTGTTGGCGCGATGCGCTGGCTGGTCCGCTTCGTCAGGCGTCGCTGACTGGCGCGTGGTGGCTGGCGGTGCGACAGCGGATGGCGTGTGTCGGCGGGTGCCGGTTGAGGGAACCGATCGGTTCGCGGATGGTCGAGCGGGCTGGCGTGCGCTGGCCGGTGTCGTCGTGGGCCTGGTGACGCCGGCGACGGTGGAGGCCGGGGAGTCGGAGAGGACCGGTGGTCGTCGATGCCGGGTGTTCACCGGGATAGGTCGGCGTCTGCCCGGGGGAGGCGGAGGTGCCTCCAAGAGCACCAAGTTCCGACGTCGCTGCTCGGCGTCGGACCGCTGGATGCGGGTCCCTATTCCCGGTACTGGCCGGGTGGTTCGCCCGGAAACGGGCAGATTTCGTCCGGAAACGGACGGATTTTCTTTTGAGCGCTGGTTTGCTTCTTCGTTTGGTGTTTCCATCGTGACGGGATGAGTTCCGACCCAAGGGTGCCCGTTCTTTATACCCCTCGGTGATCTGGACGCGGACCATGAAGAGTGCCGCTCCCGGTGCGGGACCGGGTGGCAAAGCGCGGACCATGAAGAGTGCCGCTCTCGGTTCGGGACCGGGTGGCAAAGCGCGGACCATGAAGAATGTCGTTCCCGGTATTCGGCCAAAGATTTTCGACAAGACGCGGACCATGAAGAGTGCCGCTCCACGTATTTTGATTCGAAACCGCGAACATGCCTAACGGTTGACCGGCGGCGTTAATCGGCGCGCGTTGCTCGGGTATCGGACTAGGGTTCGGTCGCAGGACGCGGTTCGGAGGCGGATTTCAAGTCCCTCACGTGGACGTGCCGATGC